TCGTTACATTGGGAAAAAATGGTGTTTCTAACATATGTTTCCTACTAAAATACACCCTGAGGTTTGGTCTCTGAATTATTCCCATCAGCATAAGAAAACCTAGGAATATCCTAATTTCATTCAAAGTTGTGGGAACCCACTTTTGAAAGCTCTATTTTATTAGCGTCAGGGGCAAGAAACTGTCCCGCCAGAGAAGTTACGTGACCAAATGCCATGTTGCTCCGATAAGAGGGTGTTGCGAAGCAGAAAAGGAATAACAGATTCATAAATGTTGACACGGGCGTCAGCCAACTTTAACACCTAGGTTCGTAACATCGTAAATCAGACACGGCTTCTTTGTCGCCAGTAAGCCAAGCCAGTAATAAAAAAATACACACAGATAACAAGCACTCAATGAAAGTTAGCTAACAAATTATCTCTCTGTAAGCAAGTGTGAGTTGGAACAACTCTTTCGTAAGCAGCAGACACCAGATGCTTTGTCCCAAGCAAAGCGAGTAAAAAAAATACCACACACAAACAGATAGCGAGGAATGAAAGAAGTCAGTGTTAGCTGACATATACATTCACTGGAAGTACACACATCAGAGCGTAGGCGTTAAGAATTCTTAGTGAAAAGTTTGGACGCAACATATGCGGCGCGCACGCTTACAGCACGGCTTTGAGTGGACGCAGACGGTGCGTCGCACACGCTTAGGGATTTAAATGGCTCCGCTAAAAGTCACGCTCGAGGGGTTAAAGATGACATGTGAGGCACAGAAAGAACTCTTCATTAAAGATTAGAGACTGCATGATTTTGTAGATAAAACTGACATGTATAATTATATTAACAAATGCTGCCAAATTTACTCTACATTTACCAATTTAAATCTATTTTCACGCTTCCCTTCCATGTGTGACAAGACTCTGGTGCCTACACTTCTGTTTGGCAACAATTCTTGGTCTTCTAAGTGTCCAATCCTCATGAGGATTCCATGCCAATATTGAGAATTAATTTATTGTCTCACCATCTGACCTACACATTCTGTAAACCATGACCTCCTTCCTAGTAATATTAGAAGAATGTAAATCACAGAATGCATCACTTTTCCATTTTTGGCTTCAGTTAACTTATGTAGAAATATTTTCTTTAGCTTTGTGTTCTTGAACACTTGCACCATATGGTCCTCCTCTATTTCTGCCCCCACCCAGAAAAAAACCCACATCAATTTAGTACGACATGATACAATTACAATACAATGGAAAACTTATGCATTACATACCTGAATACTTCTAATGGTGAGAGAATGGAAATCATAATATCACTATGAACATAACCCATCGTAGTGAGAGATAAGTTCAGTGCCCAACCAAACCGTAAGATGAAATCCTCCACAATCGCAAAGTAATAGTAACCCTGAAAGAAGAAACTAAACATAAGGCTGACAAATTAAGATAATGTGATATGTACACCCACTGGCAAGTAATAGCTGTGAGAACAGGTGATAGTACAACAGCTGTTGTCAGGGAATTCCTCCATGGACACCTTGCTTCCCTAGCAATGAGAGAACACGAGTCAGATGAGAACTAGAGCTGTGATAAGTAAGAAGCTGGTAGCCGAGACTGGGAATAGTTCGGAAATGCACAGGAAGGGGAACATGTCATCAGAAACCACTATGAAGCAACAGCTAGCAAAGACTGGGAAGACTTTATGCATACTGTAGTCACAGTGATCTTTGAAACATGTAACTCAGTGTCGTAATTATTTGTAGGTACATCCTGCAAGTGTCCGATAAATCCAATTACCAATCCAAACCCTGTCTACAGTCACTCCATTACGTGTCAATACTTAAAAGCCCGAGTTACATACAACAGTTTTCAGTTGCTAAGTTTCTGACTTCACCCATCACCTGGTATTCCATACAGAACATAACATTCTGGGAAACAGATTTGTTCTCTCATTAAATAAAATGAGGGGAGGCACCTACTCATTGGATTACAATGACTTCAATTAGTTCTAGCAGGTGTCTAAGAACAGAAACATATTCACTATCTCGAACACGGTGCTCTGTCCAAAATACCAGATGATGGACAAAGACCAGAAAACCACAAATCCTTGGTGCTATTTATGGTTCTTGAAACCCTTTAGAACTGATTAACAGTTCTGGCTGAGCTGTCCTTGTGTCATCTCTGTAGAAGGATCAGCCCCAGCATTCTGACGTTCATCTGTAACTAAGTGAGTCTTCTTAACCCAGATATCACTACTGAAGATTTCTCTGAGGAGCAGTGGATCTGAATACTGAGGAAAATCTTTGATGCAAGTGATTTAAAACAAAGATTATTGATTTGGTATCACTGAAATTAAATATTAAATGAACTAAAACCTTAAACAGGGGTTCAAATGTATATTTTAACAATTGTGATAAGCAAATTTCTTTCTTACTAACACATTCTGAGAAATTAACAATTTTACTGCAACCAAGAGAATGTCTTAATACGAGTTAAATATTGTGGCATGTAGACCATTGCTAGGCAACGACCACAAAATAAGAAACTATGCAACAGTCATTGTAACAGCTTCATTAGGATGCAATTGCTTCTTTCCACATCCTTCTAATTCACCATTCAACTCTAGTCTACAGTTGCGTACATTTCCTTCGGCAGGTCAATGTCATCTCATCACCTGCCAGTACAAATCTGTAGGGCTAAACTTCACCAACCGCACAACCTACTTACCTCCCAGGAAGGAGGACAAACTGTAAGGGCAGGTGAAGGGGTGATGATCTTGATCAGCCAAAAGCAATGTCCACGACTTCGGCTATCAACAGAACTGTAAAATAAACAACACACCGAAAGCCTCAAAGCAAGACTCACTATAAATGTATTGTGGCATACAGACCTGTTGCTAAGCAGTGACTTTGTAAACAGCTGCCGTTGCTAGGTAATGCCTGCAACATACATGCATGCAACAATAGGACAGGTTATGCAACCTGTTTCTAAGCAAGGGTTCAGCAAACAAGTTTCCGCGGCAACAGGCACCAATGCAACAATATGAGAACAGTGTTCTCTATATGGTCTGTGCTGATAAGTTATAAGCAGGACAATTTGAAGCAACGAGCAGTTGTTGGAGTTGTCAGCAGTTCAGCTGAGTGAAGTGACGTGAAGTAGCTGGTTGGTGAGTGAGAGTCAGTTGTCAGTTGGAAGTCAGCCTGTGAAAAGAAGACTAGGAGGTTACTGCGAAATGGCCGCCAGTCTGGGACCACAGTTAGTTGTGTTGTCAGTTGACAAAGAGTTCTGCATGGGAGGCTGTGACAGGAAGACCTGAGTGTGGGAAACTGAAGAATCTCCCTCAGCAGAAGCTGAAAACTGCTAATGGAGACTGTAACAGACTGAGGACACTGTTCTGTGTGTCAGTGAGCCATAAAGTGTAGTTATGAGTGATGTATACAAGTGGTCAATACATCCAATTCACCAATCCATACCCCGGCTATGGTCACATACCCAAGAGAGAACCAGTGAGGTCTGATGCCAGTGCTGTCAAGCATGGAGGTATCAGAGGTCCCCTCTATTGGAGGCCAAAACAAAGCAATGAATATCTGAAGATATGGCAGAAGAAGTATTGTAATTATCTTTAGTTAAGAGCCAGTATCCAGTAAATCCAATTGTCCACCTGAACCATATGCACAGTCATTAACTCATGACAATATATTGTAGCATGCAGACCTGTTGTTAATGACTCTGTAGACAATGTCCATTGCTAGGAAATAGTTTCCTAACATGCACCAATAGACTAACTGGGAAGTGGTGCTCTCTAAGCAGTCTGTGTGACAGCTGCATGACGCAACAGAAGAACTGTTGGAAGCAGTGTTTTCTATGTGGTCTGTGCTGAGGTGTTATAAACAGGACAAATCTAGAATTTAGTTGAGAGAGAATTGCTGGCCAGTATGGATATGGACATAGAAGCTGAGGAAGCAATGGCATTGGAAGCTGTTACAAGGCGACAACTGATGAAGATACAGCATAATGAGAAGACTCAGTACATGCTAGAGTGGATTGTAGTGTGTGTGAATTAGCAATAGTGCTATAGTTACTAGTTACAATCTGTAAGTGTCAATAAATCCCATTACCAATCCAAACTCTGTTTATAGTCACTCCATCATGTGACAATATATTCCGAAACCAAATGATATTCCTCACTCAATGACAATAGACATACCCACATAAAGACTTTTGCTCACATGTATTAAACGTTCAAGAAATTTTCATTATGCCCCAAAATTTACAGCCAGTGACTAAGGGGTTCTGGAAGTTCCTCAGTTAATCTGGACAGCGGATAATCAAGAATCTCGATGGAGCAATGTCCTTCCTAAATCTAATAGCTGCTGAGTTAGTCAGTAAATTTCCATGTTTTTTTGAACTGGAAGGTTCACTACCCTATTCACAAGAGCCTATGATTGGTCCCTATCCTGAGCCAAATGAATCCAACCCTCATCTTCAAGATCCATTTATGCCTCCATCCTTTAAGTGGCACCTCTCCAATTTCTCCTACCAAAACTACCTATGTATTTCTATTTGCCCCAATTCACTCTATATATGCTCTGCTCATTGCATACCATTTGATTTGATCATTGTAATAATGTCTGGCATGGAGTACAAATTATCAACGTCCATGATGTGTACGTACTGACCGTCTTTTAGTGCACACAATCTCACTTGTCACTTCACTACATGTTTCAGCATCACTGTGCCATCCTCAGGTGTGTTATTTACGTTAAATTATTGCACTGCTTGCCATCATGTGTCATTTGTAAAATGATTTAAACTGTATATTCGTCATGTACTACAATAAAATTTATATATTAAAATTTTGATAAGATTTATCATCTTATATGTCGCATTTCAAACTCGTGTATTATATAAGTCTTCCGCTATGGGAGTCGTTCTTCCTATATTCTGTGTATACTGCGTCTTGTGACGTGTCCTCCTCTTGTGGCTGCGTGCGTTGTATGTGAGTTTGAAATACGACGTATAAGATGATAAATCTTAACAAAATTTTAATATATAAATATTATTACACATTTTAAATCATTTTACAAACAACACATGATGGCGAGCAGTGCAATAGTTTAACGTATATAACACACCTGAGGATGGCACAGTGATGCTGAAACATGTAGTGAAGTGACAAGTGAGACTGTGTGCACTAGAAGACAGTCAATACATACACATCACAGACGTGAATCAGTGCAACAGGATGCTAAAATACAACATTACAAATTACCAAGCTCACCATCATGCAGTTTTATCCAGCCTCCTGTTACCTCCTTTTAGGTCAAAATATTCCCCTCAGCATCCTGTTCTTGAACACCCTCAATTTACTGAACTGAATGGCAGCAGGCATTCCTTAAATTTAATCTGTTGAATTTGATACAGCAAGATTTAATGAAAAGAAGATACCTCTCAAATTCATGCACATATAGGCAGGCTAATCACAATCACTTACAGTTGATGAATAGACTACTTCCTCTCGCAAATATTTGTTGTCTCCTGCTTTCTTATCGAACAAGCCCCAATCCATCTTGATGTCCCATGTGTAAGCATAACAGGAGCTCAGTATTGATGCCATCACCCACAAATAGAAATACGGGTTTTCTGTCGTTACTCGATATGCATCTATGTAAAAAGTAAATATGTGGTTAGCATGACATGCCACGATGTAATAGCAGTCAAACAGCCCTAAGCTAGACCAGTGCAGATGAGGGGCCTGAAGATTAACAGTTATGTAACATTAAGACCTCTGACATATGGAACTACAGTGTGATTATCTCACAACTGTTGGCAGGTTGAAGAGTATGAAACTCTTCCTGCCCAGTCAGGCCATCGAGACTCAAAACTGCTAGTAGAACTGACATGCCTACAGGCCAACAAATCACAAACAAAACCCCCCCAGGTTACAGCAGATGCATGACATTCTCTCTGTTAAGCACACACTCCTGCCTCAGCAAAATAACATTTACTTCCAGTTATTATGTGGTGCAATCCAAAAGTTCCCGATCTTACCTAGATCTTATTCTGCACCATCACCTTCAAAGTAGTCCCCTTGGGAGCGCATATACCAATCCCAGCGTTTCTGCCACTTTTCAAATGCATCCTGGAAGTCTTTCTTTGTTAGGGTGTTCAGTATCGTCTGCGTTTCCACTTGAATTTCCTCAACTGTATCAAATCTTCGCCCCTTCAACTTGAGTTTCATCTTGGGGAAGAGAAAGAAGTCACACAGAGCTAAGTCTGGCAAGTACGGTGGGTGGGGAACAACTGCCATCTTGTTTTTGGCCAAAAATTCCTGCACAATGTAAGCCGTATGCGGTCGAGTGTTGTCCTGGTGGAGTAACCAGTTGTTTGTGGGCCACTTCTCTGGACGTTTTTGTCTCATGTCCTCCCTCAAATGCCTTTGAACATCGCAATACAACTCTTTATTGACTGTCTGGCCAGGAGGGATGAACTCCTTATGAACAATCCCATCAATATCAAAAAAACAGATCGACATGGACTTAATGTTGCTCTTGACTTGTCGAGCTTTTTTTGGCTGAGGTGAAGAAGGGCTATTCCATTGCAACGATTGCTGCTTGCTTTCAGGGTCGTAGCCATAAACCCAACTTTCGTCACCAGTGACAACCTTCGAAAGAAAGTTGGGATCCTCTTGAAGCTGTTGCTGAAGTTCCCTGCAGACTTCCAAGCGATGCTGCTTCTGTTCATTTTGCAGCAGTCGTGGCACAAACTTCGCCACAATCCTCATGTTCAGTTCCTCTGACAAAATTCGTTGACATGTACCATAACTTAGTCCTAAGGTGTTACAGAGGTCTTGGATGGTCAGTCTACTATCTTGCAGAATCAGATCCCTAACTTTCGCGACATTTTCTGGTGTTTTGCCCATTGATGGCCGTCCCGAACGATTGTCATCATCAGTCAATGTTCAGCCATTTTTAAAACGCTTATTTGTAAGTAAGTGTGTGTCTGGCCTAAACTGTTTTCACAAAAAGCTTGCTTCAACATTTGGTGCATTTCTGCAGCGGTTTTCTCAAGTTTGAAACAAAACTTTATATACAGACATGCTGCACTCTCAGGTCAGCCATCGCAAAACCGCAAATTCACAGAAACACAACAATGGAAATACGTTCACCAACAATAAACCCAACCACTCAACTCGATGCCGCTTGCCACACTGATTCAAGAAGGATGTGTGAGGAGACACCTAGTGGTATTTTGATGTACTCATAACCATTCACGCGCAAAATTCAAATTTCGGAAACTTTTGGATTGCCCCACGTAAGTTCCTTGTGGAAACACAGCAAACTTTAAACTTGAAAACCCAGTTTCCTATGCAAAGGATTTGACGGACCACTGCAGCTGATGGAAGCACCATTAAGTAAACTGTAAATGAATAACTCCACCATCAGCTTCTTAGAGAAATGAAATCTATACTGCTGTAAAATTTCAGCTACTGGGAAACAGGAGATTTTGCCATCAAACATTTGGTAACATTTTAATTACAGTGAAGTTCCTATTTCATGAATGTTTGGGGGAAATGGCTTTTCTTACATTTAATAGAAGTTTTCACCAAATGGAGGCTATGCAAAACTTCATCATGGAAATTTTCATCTTATAATAAGACTTACTGCTGTAACCGCACCATGCAGGAACCTCAGCAACGTTTTTCATTTACATTCTTGATTACAATGTACTACATGTAAACGAACTGTATTACTGTTAACGCAAGATGATACAGAATTGACCCCAGCACCAGCAGATGCCAAGGACGACATCTGGTCTTTCTGAGGAACAAGCGAGCTGCAGGTCACTTGAAAACCCAGAATGGAGCAGGAAGTATCCCACTGCGTTTTCTGGGAATTTCAATGCTTAACTTCAATGGTACGAGTCTTTGAAAATTTGATACTTTACAGATACGAGTCACAATTATTATCAAAGGGGCGTACCGAGCGATCGTTAGCATACCTTCATTTATTTGAGAGCTGTCAGAAGGACCGTCTTGTACTTAGGCCCAAATTAACAAGGATCTTGTTAGGGATTGGCAGAATGTCAATGAGAGTAACACCCAAATTTTAGGTTCAGCCAATCAGCAAAATTTCAGAGGAGAGGAAACCAGGTGTTCCCAGAACCGTCAGGACTTCTGCCTCTCCAGAGCAGTTGCAAAAAGTGAATAACAGGAGTGAGTGGCCAAAAGGGAATAACAGGAGTCAGTCATCTAAAGTGAGTAACAGGAGTGACCACCCGGAAGTTAAATCGGGGTTGGCCGAGTCCAGTGCACAAATTCAAAGTGCTACAGCCTTGTAATGTGCAATTCTAGTTCACATCTATAATAAAGAGCAACAGTGTTTGTGAAGTGCAAGTTTTAAGTGTTTTCTCTCTTTCCTTGTGTGAGCAAGGCCCAGAAGTCGCCCTGCGACAGAATCTCGTCCTACCGTCTGAGCAGTCGAAACCCCAAACGCCTGCCTATCCACGTCTCACCTTTGTTTTCCCTGTTCCAAATTCGTGGATTTCACCGAAGTTCACTGGCGCATATAGAAATTCAAATTCAAAGTAATCCCACACCCTAGCCTGAACCAGACAGCAAGAAGGAAGCGACAGAGTATAAAGTGAAACCAAACGTGTAGGTGAACATGACGGCGGTTATACTGCATATGATAAAACAATTGATTTACATAAGCAATGTAGGAAATGGGTTCCACAAAATAATTATATAATTAGTAATATCAAATTCTGTGGTCATTTCTGGTATGGACAAAAACATGAACATCGTTTGACATGCAGCTTTATTTTAACAGAAGATAAAGATGTTAGATCTGGTCCATTCTAGTTGTTCAGAAAAATGATCAAGAGAAAATATTTTTATGGAAGCAATGGTTACTAACCTGTATATATCACATTCATTGTGCTGAACAGCATAACAAGGAAAGAAGTGGCATACTTTCCAGCATTCACAAGATGAGGAAAAGCTTCCTTTGTGTCTCTGTAACGTCGCAGACACTGTGCAAATCTCCACCATGCTGGCAGACAGCCAACCAATGGACGTATTATTTGAGTATAATCAACACAAACATTTATATCTGTCAAAAAGTTGAACACAAAATATTATACATCAATTATAAACATATGTCATGCAATGCAACAAGACAATTAAATCCAATTTCTTACCATCTGCTGCCATCCAGTTGTCATTTGTCAGGTAGAAACAAATAAAATACTGAAAATCAACAAAAACTACTACTAAACTATTCAACTGATCAGCCAGCCAGAAGTCAGCAAAATTGACATAGAATAGTGGAGCTAAAATTATCCGACCCTGCAAAAAGAAATCAGAATACACTTGAGTTCTTTCTTGCAAACAAATTTTTCACAGAATATTGAAATACTGTCACAATAATCTCCAACAATTTTCCAAAATTCACTATAATAAAATATCAATATACTGAGAAACACAGAACAATGTTGCACTTTGTAAATAAAATGTATGAACAAATTTTATATAAAGAAGAAAGTCGTCTTCTGGGTTTAGGCACCGTGTATTCTTCGTTTTGGCTGACATTTCGGAGGAACGTAGCGCCTCCACCTTCCTCCACCTCCTCTGAAGATGGAGGTGCTACGTTCCTCCGAAACGTCAGCCAAAACGAAGAATACACAGTGCCTAAACCCAGAAGACGACTTTCTTCATAGTCATCGCCGTGAAAACCTCAAAACTTACAAATTTTATATAATTCTAATTTTCCCAGAATTGCTTCTCACATAAGGAAATGTGCAGGGCATCAAACATATGTCATTAAGGTCAACATTTTTCTGTAATGCTATAGAGAAAACAAGATCAGTTTGGAAATGGAGGCAAAAGTCTACAAGACTACATAAAGTCCTCTTTGTGACTTGGAAACCTACTGCCTATGAATAAAAATAGTGTGAGGTTCTTGTCACACAAAAGTTTTTTATTTATCAATCACATGATTCAGCCTACAGAGGCCATCATCGGGTGTTTCTTGATGAAATGAGTAAAAAAAAAAATGTTTGTGTGCCAGTAAGCCCTCCATTTTCATTTGTAAGCACCACAAAGAGGATGCAACGCTTTAACCTAGCAGTTAGTTGCAAACAGTCATAAATCTGAATTAATTCATTCAATGGATCCTTACCATCCAAATATTTATTAACTGCATATGACTTACCAGGACCTTCAATGCCCAAAATCTGGCTTCATGTCGGAAAGTCTTGGTCGGATTGAGGATGAACACAGCCATGATAGTAATGAGAGCTAATGGATTGACGTAAGGTGGAATGCTTAGAGAAGCACTGTACAAGAAGCTGAGAACACTCAGAGCCCACACGACTCCAAATATTGCAGCTAGTTCCATAATGTGTTGCTCTGAGAGGTGATTACGAGGATCCAGCTCAAATATGAGCACATGATTCACGCCAGATGATCGCCATCCATATACATTGATACCCATCAGGAATAGAAACTCAATAATGAGCAGTGGACCTCTGTATAGACGAAACACAATCCTCCAATCATCTCGAGAGCGATGAAAGATGCCTGAAAATACAGTAAAAATACATATTTACTGTTTTTATCTTCAGAAAACTGGACATTAACTTGCAGCATTATAAAGTAAATAGACAAATATTTCATGTTCAATTTATTTCGTACAGGATAGAAGTCCACATTGTGATACATACGATGGGGTATCCAAAAGAAACCGAACTAATTTTTTTGTGGGCAGAGCTTTTGTAGTACCGCGTTTTGCCGCTATGAGCGCATAGAGCTAACATTCCTGAGTCGATAAGCCAACTACCGTTGCTTCAGAAGGTAAGGACTAGTTTCGGCAGTTTATAGTGACAACTGTTTTGTGTGATCGTCGTTTTTGCAATGGCCCGAACACATGAAAATGTTGAAAAAATTCGTGAAATCATCAAGGAAGATCGACGACGGACCACTGAAGAAATTGTGGAGCTGTTGGGAGTGACTTGGAGCTCAGTTCAGCGAATTTTGACAGAAGATTTGGGAATGAAAAGGGTGGCTGCAAAATTCGTGCCACGACTGCTGACTGCTGAACAAAAACAAGGTCGCGTGGAAGCATGCTGTGCTTTGAAAGAAGAGTCCCGAAATGATCAAAACTTTTTTCAGCGTTTTGCTGTTATTGCTGAGGTGAAGGAAAAAAACGACGGAGGCGCTGTCAAGCATCTCAAAAGATGAATTTAGACAATGTTTTGAAAAATGGAATAAAAGATTAGACAAGTGTATTAGTGTAAGTGGAGAGTACTTTGAAGGGGATTGAAGGTTTGTGCTTAAAATTTGAATAAATAAGTTTAAAAAAAATAAGTTCGGTTTCTTTTGGGTACCCCCTCGTATAGCAAAATCTCTATATTATCATCTTCTACAGGCACTCACAGGGCAAAGAAAACTGTTGGTCCTGACATAATATATTTATAGACTATAATCTCTCTCACATACTGTTACATCCTGTTGTGCAAATCACTACATATAATGTTTATTATAGTCCTGTCAACACACCACTATTTCCCGCAGTTGAGGTTCGCTGTCTAGGGTGACACGTTTCACTACGTGCCATTTTGAGGCCCAGTTTTACATTACAATTATTCTATTATGTACTTAGTGCAAATCTTCCATGTCAACCAAGCAAATCCACTGGTGTTTCATACACTATACAAGATGTCCCAGGAGGAATGGTCAGTATTCCGGGATGTCATAGCATCGGTCAGTCTAAGCAAAAAAAGTATGTATGTACACGTGTCTTATTCTGAACGGTGTGTTATAGTTACAGTAATATTGTCACGTGTTGGGTGTATAACACTGTATTGGATATAGCGAATTTGATTTCACATTCGCTCTTACAATCACACAATTTACAAGCTCAACATTACTGCCATCGGCAGTATCACAAATACCAGACTGCATACTCTTCCCTGGCCAACTCGTAACTTGTAACTAACTCTTGAATAGTCTTCGCTGCTCCTTATTTAGCCCCGTTATGGACAACACAGAAAACAGTTACGTAATAGGAACCACTGTTGTCTGATGCCGTGTTTGCCGACAGCCTAGCAACGCTGTCGGGAGTTGTTTACTGCTGAGTACAAACGGCGGTATCCCGTGTTATGTCACCACTGGTGGGGTAGACGAAGGAGTGTTGACTTGCCTGTTACCTTAGTAAGGACAGCGATCCGATGGTGTTACGTCACCACTGGCGGGGGGAGGGGTGTCCTGCATAGCGCAACACATCACAACATTGAGTGTGCAAGAATTAATTGTAGTTATGATTTGTGAGTATCCAATAGATCCATTTACCAATCCAAACCCTGTTTATAAGTCACTAATACACGTGATGATATGCATGTCACTTTGGCGAACAGTAATGCTAACTGGTTCAAATGCTCACCACCTAACATACAATAAGTAAACTGTGCATTTAGACACACTTAAACAATTCTGCACATGTAAGGCAGTGTTGGCACTGTCTTTTTTCCAGCACTCATAATTCAATAAAAACTGATATATGAAAATAATGATCACCTTACAGAGACAACAAGTCATCTGAAAATAAAAAAAAACTTAATAAATAACATACAATTAAGCACCTGACAGCACAACTGCAATGAGAAGCACGATAAAGGAGCCTGAAAAGAGCCCAACTTTAAACGTGGTCCACGGGCTCTGCTGTTCTCCCAGAGGTGGCACCCTCAACCTTTTCATTGCTCTTTGGCGGTCGCCACCCTCCAGATCCTGGGTCACCATCGTCTCTGTTTCACGGATCAAACGGTCAATATCTTTATTAGTATTGAAATGTGATGACTCCACATTCTCTGTTCTCCAACGAGCACCGACATCAACATTCAGTAACTGCAAAGATAAATCTGAGTCAATATATGAGCTTCACTTTCACACACAACACACAATGTGCTTTATCATGTTGCAGAAGATACTAACCTACATTTGGCAAGATAATTATTATATATATAATCAGACACTTAAAAATTTGTATAATTTTATAAAGGTAAATTAACACCATCCAGTGTGACTTATAAAATATTTTTTTCCTTTTTAATTTTTTATGCTTGAAATGTTTCAGTCTTATAGACTGTCTTCAGAAGGATATTAATACAATTATAAACCACTATTACAATGTGTTTTCTGAATATTAACACTTTGCGGACTGCACACCCTTTAAAAGGTTTTTCGCTTTTAAACATGGCGGACCGTTCGCGTGTTAACAGGTTTTTAAAACACGATAAGTTGCAACACACTATACATCTCTCTGGCTCGACCTAGCTAGCACGTAGCTGCTTACAGCTGCGTTATAAGTCTCTGGAATGTCTGCTGACCAATCAGTTACTAGACCTCGCTGTAACTTAAAGGAAAATAAATGCCTTTACTTCTTCAAGCTTTATGTAGCAAGCTGTCAGTCAGTAGTTCAATATGGATCAAAGACCAAAGCAGTTGACACCCAAGCGATTTCTTGGAGAACAAGAAACATCTGACTTCTTCTCCGATAAGTTATCTGGCATCCCTTGTGAGTCTGCTAGTGATAACGACTCACAATCTGATAGTGAGTTTGGCAGGGGCGAACAAAAAATTGTGACCACAGACAGTGAAAGTGAAAGTGACCGTAGCTCCGACGAATGTGCGGGTAGCAACATTGCGGGGACAGCCACATGGGGAAAAGTAGACAAAAAGCCTGCTTTGGGACAGTTTACTGGAAATCCAGGGTGAAGCAAATTCCATCGGACCCAACGCAAGTGTCTGAAGTAGCGGAATTGTTTTTTGGAGATAGTGTCTTTGACATGCTATGTCAGATACTAACAGATACTATCTCCAACACCGTGAACATTATTACAGAAGTTATAAGGCGTTGAAGTGGGTGGATGTCACTTCAGCAAAAATGAGAAAATTTTTTGCAATTATCTTTCTAATGGGGCATACAAGGAGGGATAATCTGAAAGAGTATTGGTCAAGAGATCCATTTTTAGAAATTCCAATCTTTGGCAAACTAATGAGCCGTAAGAGATTTGAGCAAATTTGGTGGTGTTTGAATTTCAATGATAATGAACTGCAACCACAATCAACAAGCAGGCTTTTCAAAATTCAGCCCTTATTGAACTTTTTCATTCAGAAATTTCAGACAGTTCATAAGCCAAACCAACAACAGTCTTTGGACGAAACTGTGATTCCTTGGAGGGGAAGGCTTCGTATGCAAACATATAATCCTGGGAAACTTACAAAGTATGGCCTACTTGTTCGTGTAGTTACTGAAAGCACTTCAGGCTATATTGGAAATTTAGAAATTTATTCTGGTGAAGGAAAGAAATTACAAGAAACTATTCTTTCCGTTTTGGAACCCGATCTTGATCAAAATTACAATGTCTATCAAGACAATTATTATAACAGTGTGGCAACTGCAGAACACCTATTTTCGAGAAAAGTACGTGTTTGTGGAACAATTATGATGAACAGAGGCCTTCCTCCATACCTGAAAGAGGAATGTAAATCCCTGAAACGTGGTGAAACCACATTCAGGAGGAAGGGGGATATTCTTCTTCAGTCCTGGAGGGATACTCGTGTTGTGAACATGTTTTCCACAATTCACAATTCGAGCATGGTTGATGTTCAAAGGAGACATGGACAGGTAAAGAAGCCTGTTTGTATTTCCGAGTATAA